ATATATATATATATAAATGCAGTCATTTCCCTTTAAAACTGAACCTCTAGTGGTACTTTGTGGAATGAACTGTTTGTATTGTTAAATATCACAACAATATAAGAGAAGACTGATCTTAGCACACATAACTTTACTTACTGCATTGGCCATGATGTCATTCATCCTAATTATTTAAGTGCAATTGCCAAGAAAAACAGAACTTCACTATCAAAAGATAGAAATACTTTTTTGTTGTTGTTGAAATTGCACCTAATAAAATGGTTTTTGGCCAGCTGCACATGTGTAGCTGGTTTGCAGGTTTGTATTCAAAGACTCACTCCTGAGAGCAGCTAAGCATCTACAACTTCAGTTGAAAAGTGGCTGTTTAGTATATCTCTGAAAAGAAGAATAGAGTAATTTTTCTGGGGAAAATTACTGTAAAGGGATGCACAGCTACTTGCTGTTAAAAATGTCACAGATTTTTAAGGACTGAAATACTGCTGATGTCATGGTGGTTGTGTGCAGAAGACTATATTATCATTCTAGGTGAAAAAACCTTTGCTCCTTGAACAAACCCAGCAGCAGATTTGCTGACTGTCTTACAGGCATCGCCTGTCCATTTTACATCACTAGAAGTGAAAGGATTAGTCCTCTGTTAGGAAGGAGTGTAAGTTTAAAGGATAAGGAGAAGGTAATTTGGCTGCCCTCAGATAAGAAAGAAAATGTTAATATTTGCTGACTTCTACATGTAGTTAGGAAAATCAGGGAGCATTAAATAACAGGGGATACCAGATGGTTCTTCAGTTTCCCTCATAAAATAATTTTGATGAGTGTTTGTAAATATTTAAAGGCCTGGTAGTACTGATCTTTACACAAATTATTTTTTTTTTCTAATGCAAAAAACCCTACAAAATTCAGCAAGACTGTTTGTGAGTAAGGATTATTCATATAAACAAGACTTTACAGGATCAGATCCTTAAAAATGTATAAATATTAACAAAATATTTCAATGGCTAAATTAAAGAATCATCTGGTACCATCTATTCCCTTTATTTTCTGAGACATTAATAGCTTTTTACAAAATTAGCAAAGAATACCGCTTCTTCCAGTGCTGAGATAAATTGAGTGACCTTCTTTTTATCCCTTGACTAATATTCCTTTCATTACAGGATCAATTATTTTCATAGCCAACAGTAGTATGAAATTAATATTCTAGATGTAGGTACATTAAAGAGCTAAATCTCACAACGTTTTTAACTCTAGTAGCACATGCTTAGGAGTTTAGAGGGAATATTCTGTTCATGGTCCAGAGTGTGATTTTGTTTTTTTTTTTGTAGAGAGCAGTGCAAAGACATGTCAGGGGCACATTCTCCCTAGGATTACTCCATACTCCAAGGGAGGACATGGGCAGGGCCCAGAGCAGTAGTGTGTGTTGAGCCAGGAGAACAGCAAAAAGCATGAAATTTTACAACCTGGAAATACTAAAAGCAACACAAACCACAATGGTTACACTATAGCTGCATTCCTAAATTGTGTACCTGTTTCTGCTTTCTCTCTAGGCTTGATGGTACCAGCAGTCCTCATTCTCCTCTCAGCCCATGGGTACTGCTACTGCATGTATAGGTGATGAGCTTTTGCCCTGAGAAGATTAGTAATGAATCAAAGTCCTCTTTACAGAGGGCCAGTACAAATCCGTTGTGTCTCTTCATCTTTTTAAGCTCTGTGCTGGCAATGTGCAGACCATTTAAGCACAGCTGCTCTCACAAGGCTTTGAGGACTGGGCATTAAACACTCCCTTCAAGAAGCACCAGTATTTTCTGTTATTCCTGTATTGGGCAAATTACATCATTTGAAAGCTTTGTTGTTCTTTTACTTAGTCCCTTTATAGGAAAGAGATGAAGTGACTTTTAGGAGAGAGCTTCTGTTTTAAATAACAGAAGATCCTAGACTGTCAGTAATTCATTACCTCTGAGAGAGAAACAGTGGTTGTAAATAAGCTCAACTAGTTCAGCTCATACTCCACCTAGCTCTGATTTAGAGAACAATATAAGTAGGGAAGTATATTTTTCTGCTACGTGCCTGACATCCATTAGTTGAAACTGATACTTTGGTCTTCTCTCAAAATAACATGGGTTTCTGGGATACTTAAATATTAGAAAAAGAATAAATCTATTTAATCCTGGTCAAAAGAGGTTAGTGGCAGTTAGTTGTCAACACGTACACTTGTGGAATGTTTGGTTATTTTGAAGATTTATATAAAAGATTACAGGTCTGCAGGAGAAAAGCAGCTGTATTGATAGGAGGTGCTTGGATTTCTGCAAGGTAGCTAATACCACATGACATTTTGATTTCAAGTCTTGCATTACATGGACTTAACAGGTCACCTATTGCGAGGATTAAGAAGTGTCTCGCTGACAAATTTCAAAATGTAGCCTTTTAATGAGGAGATTTCAATGTGAGGAGCTTTCCAAGCAGAATCAGAAACAGTCTTTGCCTGATATTGTTTTCTTTTGTTTCCAGCACTTCGGGCCATGAGATAGAATCCTTGCTTTAAAGGCTTGCATATAGCACAATAAATAACGAAGATATATTACTTCTGCAGTAATTTGATTTGGCTAAATGATCACTGTCCAACAGGCAGCACACTAAATTCATTTCACTACAGTCCAAAAGCTTGTAGGAATGGACACTGTCTCAGAGAGCAGAGACTCAGGGAATGTTAAAAAGTGATTATCCTAATCACCCTTTTCATGAGGTCTCAGTACACTGGTGAGGAAAGGATTCAGCACAGTCCTTGCATGCTTCCAAGATATCAAACACAGTTCTGGTGCCTGCACTTTAAAGAAGATGAGAAAATGTTGGAGAAAATCCAAGTATTTTGTATGTCAAGTACAAGTCTTGAGATAGGAGGCTTAAAGAGCTGGACATATTCTACTTAAGAAAAGTGAGAGGACACAGGGAATAGATAACAACAGTGAGTTTTTTCACTCTTGCTGACAAAAGCACAACTAAATCCAGTGACTGGAAGTTTCAGGTTAGATGAAATCAACCTTGAAATCAGACGCAATTTCCTAGCAGTAAAGGTAATTAAACTTTGTAACAGCTTATGAGGGGAGGTGGTGCACTCATCATTGCTTGATCTTGTCCTAAAAAAGGCTGTCTTTCTTAAATACAGCTTTACTTCAGCTTCTGGGAGAACTTCTAATGGACAGAGCAGGCTCAGGGAGGGAAGGAGGATCACGTCAGGTTAGGTCCCCTGGTGATCCCTCTGGCCCCGTCCATTAGGACAATGCATCTGTGCAACTTCTTCCATTATGGCTGGAACAGGATGGCTCGAATTGCACCCTGCCCACTCAGACATTTTCAGGCTGGCATTAAGGTAATAAGTATAATCAAATCCCATACTTGAGAGCTCCAGTTGGCTGCCTACAGCAGAGAAGAAGAACCTTTTCTCCACTCCTCTGAGAGATATTTGGTCTCATATATTCTGCAGAAGAACTTTTTGCCTTCCCTTGAACCATGTATTATTTATCTTGCTGTATCCAGGAAGAGATTACCACAAAGCAGAAAATTATTTTAGACATCTGATGCTTGGGTTTGAATTGAGCCCAGTCCAGAAGCAGTAGAAATTTTAATAGCTCAGATTGGCAAGCATGGTAGATATTTTGCATGGATTTTTTTTCCTGTGGTTGTCTGGGCATGCCTAATCAGTTCTCAAGTATCATCAAGTATCACGCTCAGGTACTGTTTTAGGCACTGTTTTAGTTTGATTTCTCAAGGACTAAAATACCACAGGCTAATGAAAGTAGTTCTCTCAGCCTTGGCATACATGTACAACATTTAATAGGCACCTATATGCAAGACAGATTAGACAGTCTGATGATCTCTCTTGGTCTCAAATTGTAAGGAAATTTAAAATGTGTACATAACAACAGCCACTAATTTCCAGGGCTCTCAGTCCATGGTTATACCATGAGCCACAAGCACCAAATAGTCTCCAGTGCCACTGGTCAGAGATAGAACAACTCACTGAGAATTCAAAAACCAAGCAATTCCCATCAAAACTGAAAAATATGCAAGCACAAAATATTGCCAATTGCTTGCAGGTATTTGCCTTGCAAGTATCAGAAGTTATCAGAGGTATCTGCCTGTAGTAGCAGAGACCTGTCCTCACAGCCTCTGCCATCAGTAGTCCCATCCTGCCTAGGCTGACAGAGAAAACTGCAGGATAGAGTGGCAGCCTGGTTGTGGAAATGCCCTATTGAA